AACGCGCAAGGGGCCCCCGCAGCAGCAGCTTCCCCTCGGCACGGCCACACCGACGGCTCGGGGGCTGCTCCGACCCCATCCCTGAAGCACTGCGCAGGAGGGGAGGAGTGGGGCGGGGGGCAGCAGGACCCCCGTTATCCCCAGAAGGCACTGTGTGAAGAGGGGCTTGGTGCAGGGCAACTCTGGGCAGGGGTGACTGTCCCCAGCATGTCCCCTTCCCCAGCAGGTCACTGGACCATTCCCATTGCAGCCACGATGAACCCTCCCGAAAAGTGTGTGGGGGGAGGAGATGCCCAGCACCTCCCCACTGTCATCACCCCGGCCAAAGCTCCCTGAGAGCCGGGGTTGGTCACCAGCCGAGGACAGTGGTGGTGGCAGCGGGGGCGGGCCATGGGACTCCCCTTCCCCAGCGCCTCCCCACCCGAGTCGGGCCAGCAGTGAGGGTCCCCGCAGCAAGTCCCTGGGGTGCTGGATCCCACACAGCATGGGGACAAGGACAGACCCAGCAGAAGTGACAGCAGCTATTCCAGACAAAAGTAGCAGGAGGTGTGGAGCACATCGCCCACCATCCCGGCGGGTGCCTAGCCCCGACCGAGCAGGGGGTACACCATGAAATAGCCCAGTGTGGAGCCCACGATGGCCCCGAGGAAGATCCAGGCGTTGTAGGACATGACAGCCAGCATCACCATGTAGCCCAGCACCACCTGCACCACGTGGAACAGCGTCTGGCCAACGTGGTACCGAAACCACCTATGGAAGTAGATGGGAAACCCCATCAGTAAGGGGCTGGGGCAGCCAGCATCTCCCCCCTGCCAGCATCCCAGAGATGGGTTTGGGGAGCGGGATGGGGGCTGCAAAGAGCAGCGCAGGGGGAAATCTCACTCCAAAGGAACCGAGAGGACATTATTAAGAGGTTGGCAGTAAGAGCAGCCTCAGGCATGGTCTGGGATTAAATACAAGAGGAAAAACCCAGGGCTTGGCTCCAAAGGCTTGTGCTGGGAAGGAAAAGCCCTGGCCAGCCTTGCTGGGGTGCCTGAGCTGCTGCTTGCGTCAATCCCTGAACCACGAGGACCCTCCTGCACCCACGGTGGCTCCTGGGGGAATGTGAGCATTTAAGACAGCTGAAAAACACCCTGGACATCTCCCAAAGTACCTGGAGGGGCCGGGACAGCCCCAGGGCCACCTCCTGAGGCTTTACACGTACCCCTTTCCTGGGAGCCTATCACTCCACAGTTGCTTCTTGACAGCCTTTCTCCCCTCCTCTGCTGGCCCAGGGGCCATGCACCCATTCCCGAGCTCCCCCTTGGCACCCCAGGGGTGCAAAGGGGGCCCTGCGGTACCTGCCCTGCGCAGGGCTGGTGCCTCCCTCCTCCGGCTCCACCAGCGACTCCTGGCTGAGGCTGTGGGGCAGCGCCAGCAGCGCCCGCCGCAGCAGCAGGGCCTTGCCCATCTTGACGGCTTCGTAAAGCATCGACAGCAGCAGGATCACCAGCACCGAGAGCGCCATCCCTGCACGAGAAACACCCCGGGGCTGCCCATTGCCGGGAGAGGGGGCGCGGGGGCGAGAGCGGCGGGGTCGGCGGGTCCTGGCATGGAGCACTTGGGTATATCCATGGGATAAGGTGGAGGGAAGGGAGGGCTTCTGGGATTGGGGTTGGGCTGGAGCAGCAGGTTTGTGAAGCGTTGGGAAATGGTGTATGCAGCCCAATTCCCCCCTCTAAATTCCTAGGGAGTATTTTTTGCAGAGGGTTGCTCTTAAAAAAATAAGCATCTCTGCACTGACTCCACAAAAACATGGGGGTTAAAATATGATGGTAGGACAAGAATTTAAAAAAAAAAAAAAAGAAAAAGAGTGTAAAAGAAAATGGGAAGCTGAGCCATCACTGAGGTTCAGCAAAAAACGGGCAATACCCTCTGAGCTTTGGGGCAAGTGGTGTGTGGAGCCCATCACGGCTCTGCCCCGACCCCGCCATGCTCTCCCCGCTCCCAGCCCACCACTCCTGCCACAAATGCAAAGCCACTGTTTGTTTCTCTGCCCGGCATCCTTTTCCCAGGGTGGACAGCACAGCTGGTGGCAGCTGGATGGACAGACGGGTGTCTCGGGGCTGGGCTGGGGCTGGCAGCCTACCTGCTGGCGTGTGGACGCTCCAGAAGTCAAAAAGCAGCACTGCCGTGTCCGAGAAGTAGAAGGACATCTGGAAGAGAGGCCAAGGGAAGGGCAGCGCTAGGTGATGGGTCGGCCAGGGGCGGGGGCACCCGCATCTTCAGCAGGTCCATGCACCCACCACCCCAAACAGCTGAGCCCTGATGACGATGCTCAGCCAGGGTTTTATCAAATGATGCAATTTTTTCCCCCCGATTTCTGAAATGGGAAGAGGAACTTGCACTGAAAATCACAGTCACGCTGACCTTCCCTACACTTCTAGCAGGACAATTTTCACCTTCCTGTGTGGGTCTGGGCTGGCAAGAAGCAGCCAGAGTTTACCCCCGTGACAGAGATGAGCCCAGGACTTCATTAGCCTGGATTTGAGAAGGGAAAGTCCACAGGAGACAGACGGAGGCTGGTGGACACCGTCTGCAGCCTGAAGCAAAGCCGGCTGGTGGTCAGAGCCCAGGGGTTTCTCACGCGTCGCCGGGACAGGCCAAAGCACCCAGAGCCACCAGCATGATGGCCTGATGATGGGCCCAGGGTGGCCAGCCCAGGGGTGCCCCCCTGGCAGAGCAGCACCAGTCCAAGCACTGTCCTTCTGTCCGAGCTGGGGCTGCCGGGATCTACGAAGGTATCAAACCGCCTTCTTCATCGCACTGAAATAGGGGGAGCAAGTACTGCTCTTGTCTAAGGAACCCCCCTACGGAGCTGATACCACCACAGCTACCAAGTCCTGCTCGTTTTACCACAAAAAATGGAATTTTGGGGTTTTTTTCCTCCTCTCTTTGCTGAATCTCTTTAGGCAGGGCTTGTGCCCTCTCCTCTGCCGCACGGCCTGGCTTTAGCCACGCGTACCCGCCGCTACTGACACCAGCAGATGCGGCCGACGGGACCAGCCTCGACCAGAAATACCATCCAATAACCGGGTGTCCACATCACAGATGGGCTCTAATTACACCCTTCGGCCGCTCGTTACCCAAAGCATATTAGCATGTGTAATTGGCTCATGCTTTTAAGCCTCCTTTGGCAACAGATTAATGATAATTAGCCTCTAAATGAAGCTATTTCTCCTTTGCAGGCTTCACCCACAAGTCTGCAGCACCATGTAAGGAGAAAGTAAGCATTTTAGGGACAGGGGAACAGAAGTGACCGGCAGAAGATCCCCTCGCTGCACCAGGTCTCCCAGCCTGGGGTGAAACCACGTGTCTTTGGGTACCCAGCGTGGCTGTGATGCCAAAACGATGCTCCTTGGGCCAATGGCCCCTCACTCCTCTCCTATAGCTATGCTACAGTGTGATTTCTCCGGAGGTGGCACCTTGCTGGGTGAGACGCAGCATGCGAAGGTCAG